TAAATCTTTACGGGAGCAGAAAGCCTCATCTTTCTTCCACGGAACGGCTGGTAATTTCGAACTGCAGACCTTGAGGTTAGCCTCCCGATTTGTAACCACTACGTTACCAGAGCTACTTTGTTGTTGTTGTTATGTGCCATGGAATCAGTTCCAGCTCATAGCGACCTTGTACAGGGTTTTCAAGGCTGTAAATCTTTACGGGAGCATAAAGCCTCATTTTTTCCCATGGAACTGCTGGTAGTTTTGAACTGCTGACTGTGAGTGAGATTAGCAGCCCAATTCGTAACCACTACGCTACCAGAGCGCCTTATTCCTTCTACCTTATTAATCTTCTTACTGTATATTGCATAGGATGTCATATCAAAGTACACTTTTAAGTATCTACCCTCTATATATTGTTCTGGAGTCCTAGTGTGGTGCTGTGGGTTAACACTCCTGATTGCAAAGCCATTTGAACTGCAAGGTCAGTGGTTCAAGCTCACCAGCTGCTCCTTGGAAAACCCTATACAGGGTCACTATGTGTGGGAACTGACTCGACAGCACTTAACAACAACAACAACATACATTGTTTAAGGAGCTCTGATAGTGTACTGGTTATGAGTTGGGCTGCTAACCTCAAGGTCAGCTGTTCGAACCCATCAGCTGTTTCGCAGGAGAAAGATGAGGCTTTCTGCTCCCATAAAGATTCAAAGCCTCGGAAACCCTATTCAGGGTCGCTGTGAGTCAGAACTGACTCCATGGCACACAATCACCACCATATATTGTTTATATGCAGCTTCTGCTTATGGTATTGCATATAATCCTTGTTTTGAGGCTTAATTTTCAAGATTTTGTTAAACTTTCTGCTCCCTGAGGTTTGAAAAATTAAAACAAAACAAATACTACATTGTTTCTCATCTATTTAGTCAAAATCATTTTCTCCTATGAAGAGAACAGCATTAAGAAAATTAAGAGAAAAAGATTGTATCATTTTATAAAATTCATTTGAGTAATAGTTATATATAAGGGGACTTCAAAAATTTCATGAAAAAATGCAATGAGCAGATATGGAATTATTCTACAAACTTTCTGAAGCCCCCTTGTATATAATGTATGTTTATTTTACTAGAATGTTTAAATGTAATTAAAACTACCATGAAGAGGTCAATCTTGGCTTGCGAATTTTCTTCTCATGTTTATCATTTTCCAGGTAATGAGACCTGCTGGTTGTAACTGATTTCTAATCCCTGTGTCTTCTTCCTTCAGACAGGCAGAAGTCACACAAGATGGAAGTTTTGTCTTTCCCCAGATATAATGTAGCTGAGATTTTGGTTCATATTCGGAATAAGATCTTAATAGGAGCCGATGGTAAAAACCTCTCCAAGAATGATCTTTACCCAAATCCAAAGGTAAAGTGTTATTGTGTTTTCATGTGATATAATGGTATTTAAAATTAAGAAAGGTGTGCGACAAGGTTGTATTTTTTCACCATACTTATTCAACCTGTATGCTGAGCAAATAATCTGAGAAGCTGAGTTCTATGACGAAAAACGTGGCATCAGGCTTGGAGGAAGACTCATTAACAACCTGCAATATGCAGTTGATAACAACCTTGCTTGCTGAAAGTGAAGAGGACTTAAAACATCTTTACTGATGAAGATCCAAGAACACAGCCTTCGGTATAGATTACATCTCAATGCAAAGAAAACAAAAATCCTCAGCACTGAACCAATAAACAACATGCTTATCAATGGAGAAAAAATTGAAGTTGTCAAGGACTTCATTCTTCTTGTATCAACTATCAACACTCATGGAAGCAGTAGTCAAGAAATCAAACGATGTATTGCTTTAGGCAAATCTGCTGCACAAGACCATTTTGAAATGTTGAAGAGCAAAGATGTCGGCTTGAAGACTAAAGTGCACCTGACCCAAACCATGATATTTCCAATAACCTCATATGTCTGTGAAAGCTGGAAAATAAATAAGGAAGACCCTAGAAAAATTGATGCTTTTGAGTTATGGTGTTGTAGGAGAATACTGAAAGTGCCATGGGCTGCCAAAAGAACCAATAGATCTGTTTTGGAAAAAGGAGTGCTCCTTGGAAGCCAAGATGGCCATCCTTCGTCTCTCATACTTCGGACATATGGTCAGGAGGAACCAGTTGCTGGAGAAGGATATCATGTTTGGTAAGGTAGAGGGTCAGAGAAAAGGAGGAAGACTCCCAGTAAGATGGACTGGCCAAATGGCAGCATCGATGGACTCATGCATGGCAACAGTAGTGAGGTTGGCCCATGATCGGACAGTGTTTCTTTCTCTGTGCATAAGGTTGCTATGAGTCGGTAATGACTCAGTGGCACCTAACAATAGCAATGGTATTTGAGAACCAAGTTAGTAAGCTACTAGATCTATTGAGTGGGAAAAAAAAACCAGAAATGTACCCTACTCTTTGGCATAAGCAAATCATTTTAACCCAGAGCAAATCTCTTAACTAATGAAATTTTAAAATGACATTAAGTTTATAAATGGGCCTACTTCTGCATTCCCATTAGGAATTAAATTAAATTAAATTAAATATGGCTGTTTTCTTCCAACCAGAGAATCTAAACCATAGACTTATTAAAGTATATTAAATTTATTATTATTATCATTAGAACGGTGATCTGAAGGTATCATTTTTTGGTAAGGCTAGAAGGTTTCTAACCACAAAAGGTGCTTAGAAATAGTTGTCTTTGGACACTTACAGATTAATGTTCTTGTATTTTGCCCTGGGGTAAATTGACTTGTTTTGACGGGTATGGTTCTTTTTATTTTTAGTTATTAAATGCAAAAATGCACTACTTATATGTCATAGAAAATCCCAAAGCCTTCCTCTAGCTCTCGTGTTGATGCTGAAGTTATAACATAATAAAACCTGATGTAAGGATGTAGAATTCATTGTTTGGGTCACATTGCCCTTTAATTATTTAAAATGGAATAAGTAATAATAATAAATGATAGTCCTTTAAACTGAATGCATTTATGAAAAAAGTATCAACATAATTTTTCTTTTTTTTAAACTTTGCTTCTCACCTAATAAGCTTGTATGTGGACTAGCACAGGTTCACTGGCCAGCACTTCAGAATCCACGATTTAAAAGATAAAATTTTCAAAATCTCAGACTTGTACTAAATTAATTAATGCTACTTACAAAGAAACCTTAGCATCTAAATGTTTATTTAAACTGTAACTAATGTAAGGCATCAAATTAGGTTTCCTGTGGTTGTCTTTTTTGAAAATAATGTGCTGTTATTTCTGCCACATGCCTGACAGCTTGTTCTGAAAGAGTAGCCATTGCTTTCTCTACTTCCTAAGGTAGGATGGGTTGCTTAGATTAGATTTGTACATACTTGCTCTCCTTCCTTATATAAGCTTAAGACAGCTGATCTCATTGTTTACTTAATACATGTAAGCAAACTGGTAAGTATCTTAAAGATGTTATAAGATTAGGAAAAACTAAGAATGATTTTAAAGGAAATAGTGTGATTTAGTCACCCTTTTCTTTTTTCCATTCTTTGACTATAGTTTTAAATGGTAAGGATAATAGTGTTAGGACTGTCAAGTTATGCATCAAGTTATTAACAGTTGTTTTTCTCTTGTAGCCTGAAGTCTTGCACATGATCTACATGAGAGCCTTACAAATAGTGTATGGAATTCGACTGGAACATTTCTACATGGTGGGTTTCAAAGGAGGCCAAAGTCTAATCTTTTGCTGCATTTCTCCTACTTACAATGCATATCTAGTTTTCAGGATAGGGAATACTTGACTTCATTTTTAACAAATTTAAGGCGTACTAAATTAATTAATGCTACTTACAAAGAAACCTTAGGCTGTTTAGTGGTTACTCTTTTTAATACCCTTAAATTTATATTTAAGATAAAAGTTATTGTAAAAGACCTACATGACACTTACAAATTATTTTTGTTGCTGCTTACAAGTATTGATGCTGTACAAATTATTCATAGATTTACAGGTTTGTCTTCAGAAACTATAATAAGCAATGCAAAGTCTTTACAGATGTTGCTCTGTTCTCAGTAAGTGCTCACAAATTAGATAGGCAGTAAGATTGAATGTAGTTGAAATGAAGCAACTGAGCTTTTAGCAAATTCAGCATTTCTAGTAGGAAAGATAATTTTTCTTAATCTTTTTGTTACTGTTAAATCATCAAATACTTATCTGAAGATGCACTAATTTTGTAATGTCTTTGGAATCTAAGCAGTATGAGTGTATACTATTTAAAATCTTATTAACTATAAGACCTTGGTTAAGGCATGGTTTCTTCTTTGTCTATGAAATAGGGATAGCACTTTCTCCTAGGGCAGTTGTAAAAATTAGAAAACATTTAACTTAGTATCTGATATTTAGTAAACCCTTTCCATTACTTCTTCATTTTTTCATTCACTTTCAAAGTCTTTACCCACTATTGTTGTTTGTTGTTAAGTGCTGTTGAGTCAGTTCCAAATCATAGTGACCCTGTATAGGGTTTCTAAGATGCAGCTGGTGGGTTTGAATCACTGGTGCAGTATTAAGCACTTGGTTACTAACGGAAATGTCTGTGGTTTGAATGTACCAGCAGTTCCGCAGATGTGTGGCAATCTGTATCCCTAAAGATGACAGCCTTGGGAAAGAAGTAGGCAGAATGCTATTACGTTGCGGAGAGTGCTGTCCGTGTCATAAAACAAAATGTGTATGAATTGTTGAATGGAAAACCAATTTGCTCTGTAACGTTTTATCCAAATCACAATTTTATAAAACAAAACAAAGAATTATAGCTATGGAAACCCCATGGGGCAGTTCTATTCTATCATATAGATAGCTAGGAGTCAGGATCACCTTTACAGTAACACACTTCTTTTTCATCTGGTGAGCCTAACATTATTAATCTGGAGTCCTGGTGTGCTATAGGGTAAACACTGGACTGCTAACTGCAAGGTCAGTGGTTCAAACCCACTAGCCACTCGTTAGAAACCCTGTACAGGGTCACTACGAGTGAGAACTGACTCTAGGCACTTAACAATAAGCATTATTAATATTAATGACAACTCGTAATTTTGTGCTATGAGCTTTATTTTTAATTTAATGGTAATAAATTCTATATTTTGTTGTTAATGCATGATTAAGTTTTCTTGAGGGCGATTTTTCTTTTTTCCTGTAATCAGCGGGTAAATTGTATTTTTTTATTTATGTCATTTAGATGCCAGTGAACTCGGAAGTCACGTATCCACATATAATGGAAGGTTTCTTGCCCGTCAGCAATTTATTTATCCATCTGTGAGTAAAGAGTGTTTTATGTACTTAGTCTACATGAACTGAACATTTCCACTGAATTAAGCTTTCTTAGTTGGTTTACACTCCACTCGACTAGTAAACAAGTTGAAGTTTGAAGCCAGCAGTCCTGGAAGAAAAGGTTGGCTGAGGTACTACTCCTAAGATTACAGCCACGAAAGCTATATGGAACAGTTTTATTCTGTAAAACGTGAGTCAGAATCAACCCAGAGACAACAACAACAAGCTTTTTTAATTATGTGATTTTTTTTTTCTATTTTCATAGAGGGAATTTCGACCACATCCCTCTTAACTTCATCTTGCTCATATTTTTAGAATTGTAAGCTTTCCTGAAATGTAGCTAACTTCTTCAACCTGTGGCAGTTTTCTCAGGATGCTTTTAATTGAAATTCTAAGGTATTTTCATCTACAATTATTTGCTGCTACCTCTTGGAAGGTTTTGAGTTTTTAAAGAGATTTAGTGTTTCTAAGAGTATGTTTATTAGAATCTATAACTGTACCTTGGAATTTCAGTGCTCTAGTAAGGAGCTCTGGTAGCATAGAGGTTACGAATCGGACTGTGAACCTTAAGGTCAGCAGTTTGAAACTACCAGCCGCCACTCCGCGGGAAAAAAAGTGAGGCTTTCTACCCCTGTAAACGTTTACAGCCTCGGAAACCCTGTACAGGGTTGGAACTGACTCGACGGCGCTTAACAACAACAACAACAACAACAACAACAGACTTATATATTATAATATAATTCTTACTTGGTCCTTTGACATTGAAAAGTATACCTGCAGATCTCTTTTTGAAAATGAGATGCTTATATCTTTGATTTAATATTTAAAATGCACTTTTCAATATTCTTTCTCCAAGGGACTCTTTTCTGCCCATCTGTCGGGTGAATGACTTTGAGATTGCCGATATTCTATATCCAAGTAAGTTAGAATTTTTAAAAAATTTATTGTCTGACTTCAATCTAATGTTTCATCTGTCCACTGATGAGTATTTAAAAAACTTAAGGGAAACTAACTTGCCAGAATTCATATTTATATCACTTATTTTCTTTAAGTGATTCTGTCTAAAACTGAGAAACCTCTTGTAAAGGGAATTATCAATAATACTGCTTAACATATAAATAGCTTGGCATTTTAATTTTTTAACATTTAAAGTAGAACATTTCTTCTTAGAGTATACCTGTTGTGATTTGGTGGTATCTTGCCATTTCGGTTTGGTCACATGGTATGGCTGTAAGCAAAAGATTTTTCCCAGGGCTACCTGGCTTTGAGAGGAGCACTGTGGCTCTATAGGGTAAGCACTGGACTGAGAACCACAGCTATACCTGTGGCAGAAAGATGAAGCTTTCTGCTCAAGCAAAGATTTTCAGTCTCAGAAACTCTATATGGTGGCATTATGAGTGAGATCTCACTCAATAGTACTTAACAACCACCACCTAGGTTTGGATCTCAGTACTGCCAATAGCTAGCTGTATGAATAGCAAGTTACTTAGCATCTCTGATTCTTAATACCTACCTACCCAGACTGATGTGTGCGTAACGGATTTAAGACTGTGCCTGGAATATAAAAATGCTCAGTAGGGGCAGTGGGGTAGAGCTTGAGACACAAGTCGTTCCTAGGACTTAAGTACAGCATTTTTATTTTTTAATATTTTACAATTACTTTCTAAGAGGTTTTGCTCATTTAATTGACTTTCAGGTAATATGTCACATTTTTAAGTATGAACATTTTATACCCTAAAATTGGGAATTTTTTCATTTGTCCATTGACTAGTTGATGGACATTTGACTTGTTTCCAGTTTTGGGTTATTATGAACAACGTTGCTGTGAATCTGAGTGTATAAGGCTTGTGTGGACATATGATTTTATTTCTTTTCAGTAAGTATCTACGAATAAAATTAACTGGTTCATCTGGAAAGAATATGCTTAGCTTTAAAGAACTGCTAAGTTTTTCTAACATGGCCTATCACATTTTGCCTTAGTACCAGCAATGTGTAAGAGTTTCAGTTCTTCCATGGATTGGTAGCTTCTCATTTTTAGCTCTTCTACAGGGTGTGTGATGGTGTTTCCTGATTTTAATTTACATTTTCCTGATGACTAATGATTATCAGCATATTTTCATATGTTTGTTTGCTGTCTATCTTCTTTGGTGAAATATCTGTTAAAATGGTTTGCCTGTTTTGTTTTGTAATTAAATTGTACATCTTATTAGTGAGTTGTAAAACCTCCTCAGATATTTTGGTAGTAATTTATCAGATACGTGTATTTCCTCCTAGCTTGGCACTGCCTTTTCAATTTCAAAGCAGTGTCTATGAAGAGCAAATTTATTTTTTAATTTTAAAGAGTCTAATTGCTCAAATTTTTCTTTTATAGAGCTCATAAAACATTTGTGTGTGTGTGTGTCATATTAAGAAATCTTGCTTTAAAACAATCCAAGATCACTAAAATTTACTTTTATATTTTGTTTTAAATCATTATAGTTCTAGCCTGTATTGATTAATGTTTGAATTTTTATATATGATATAAAGGGGTATGGTGTGGCACTGTGGGTTAATGCACCAAACTGCAAAGCCCTTTGAACTGCAAGGTTGGCGGTTCAAACTCACCAGCTGCTCCTTGGAAACCCTATATGGGGTCGCTATGGGTTGGAACCAACTCAACAGCACTTAACAACAACAACAACATAAAGGAAAGGTCAAGGATATGTGTGTGTGACTCCAGCTCTACTTGTTGAAAACTGCTTCTGTCCTCACCCCTCTTTTGTGTTTGTGTGCACTTTTAGGCTTTTCTTCTGCTCCTTTGATCTCAATTTATGTCACCTACCCGACCTTGATTACTTTAGCTTTATACTAAGTTATAAAATCAGATAGTATAAAATCTCTGCCTTTATTCATCTTTTTAAAAATTGCTTTGGCTATTCTAGGTCCTTTATATTTTCATATAAATTTTAGAATTAGCTTGTTCTGCTTTTAAAAAATTAAGCCTACTAGGATTTTAAGATTATACTGTATGTTTAGCTCTTTTGAGGCGTAATTGGCAATTCAAATTATATTAGCTCTCCTGAGTTGATTGCAACTTGTAGCAACCCTATAGAGCAGGAGTAGAATTGCTCCTTAGGGATTCCAAGACTAAATATTTATAGGAGTAGACTGCTAGCTTTGAACTGCCAGCTTGCCAGCTTTGCAGTTAGCAGCCCAATGTTTAATTCCTGTACCACCAAAACTCCTTTCAACTAGTTGTTGTTGTTGTTAAGTGCTGTCGAGTTGGTTCCTACCCATAATGACCATGTGTAGGGTTTCTGAGAAGCAGCTGGGGAGCTTGAACCTCCGACCTTGCAGCTAAAGTCTACTTTGCAGTCCAGCCCGTTAACCCACAGCACCACACCAGATCTCCAATTATTTAAGTGGTCTTTAATTTCTCACAGCAATATTTTAAAAGCTTTAGGTACAGGTCTGGTGTGCCTTTCATTAACTTATCCCCAAGTACTTCAAATTTTTTGATCAGATTGTGATTTTTTTTTAAGTTTTGGATTAGTTTTTGCTAGTTTATAGTTAGTTGCTGTTGAGTTGTTAGTGTTCGTGGTAGAACCGTGCCTAGTGTTTTCAAGGTTATGACCTTTTGGGAGCAGGTTAACTTGTTTTCCAAAGTGCGAGGGGGTAGGTCTGAGCCATTGAGCTTTTGGCTAGTAGTACAGTACCAGAAATGTTCACACCACCCAGGACTTTGTTAGTTTAGAGGAATGAAATGAACTTTTCTATATTGACATTGTATCCTGTGACCTTGCTAAATTCATTTATTTCTAGTGGGTGTTTTGTAGATTCCTTGGGATTTTCTACACTAGCGATCATTTGAGAACCAAGATAGTTTTCCTTTTCCAGTATAGATGTTTGTTATTCCTTTCCCTTACCTTTTTTTTTTATTCACCAAATTCAGTCATGATTAATTGATAGGAATTTCAATTCAGTGATTTCAGAGTTGGGGGTGCTGCTTCCCCTTCTGTCACTGTAGGTGTCCCTGGGAAAGAGTCGACAACTTTTCTGGAGGTAATGTGGGAGTTTCCCTACGGAGGCCAGCAAGAGGCCAAAGTAGGGCGGGGAAGGTTTGATACGTCTGGACAGGAACTCACGGTGGTACTGAACACTAACAAAAAAAAGGATGATCTTCCAACTCCACAGTTTCCATTCTCTCGCCTTCAACATCTTGGCCAACAGACTTTAAGCCTTATTCTTCAGATGTTTTTTCAAGACGGGATTTACCTCAAATCTGTGGTGGTGCCCCTACTCCAGGAATTCCAGATCACCGTAGAGTTTTCTCATGACAGATTTGTTGGTCTGGAACAGGGTTCTCCCCTTGCCCAACCTCATGGTCCCACCCATCTGCCCGGGATTGTGTTCTGGCATGCCTGTGACCACAGGGTGACTTGTTTTGGGGTCAAACTGTGTAAATTTGGCATCTTGCCATCCCAGCACATTTCTGGAAAATTCAACCACTGCCAGCTGCATCCCTAAGCACACACCCAAAAAAAGCTTTCTCTGTTTTCGAGTCCAGCTGATTGCTTGGATTTTCCCTTCCATTCCTCGAACACCAAACCCTCCTGGAACCAGCACTCCATGGGCACTGCAGAGCTTCTGCCAGGCTTCATGGTACCGAACAGGCTCTTCCTGCAAGGTGCTGGCCTCCAGGTCTGTAGAATCTGTGTCCCTGATTTCCAGTTTGTGGTTGATGATGACCAGAGCAGAGTGCTCCAGAGCTTTAATGACAGAGGCAGATGAGTCAGTGAACTTGGTGTATTTGTCTTACAAGGACAATGGAGCATGTCTCCAGCAAGCGACCATATCTGTCACCCATCTCTTTCCACTTCATCAGCATTTTTGGTGGCTGCCTCTCAATCTACAACCCCTTGTTCTTCTAACAGCAAAGGGACTCAGTAGATGGAAGAGACATCATAGACAGATGACTTGTTCAGGTTCAACATGGCAGAGCATGGATATTTTCTCTTTCACTGATGTGTCAAGAGGATTTGAGCACCTACACACAACCAGATCTGGGGAAAGCCCAAGCCCTCTAAGTTCCCGAACACTGGTCTGAGTTGGTTTCGTCTTCTGTTCCCCTCTTGAACTTGGCTGGGGGACAAAAGTTCTCTCTTTTGACTTTGAATTGGAATTGACAAACAGCCTTAATAAAGGGCATGCTTTCTATATCTCCCACTGTTCCACCAAGCTTGATAACAGACAATTGGGATTCCAGGCCATCTTCATCCACAGGTATTAACACCTGTCTCATTACCCACTCCTGGATTGCATCCGTGATGTGAGGGACCACTTGGACAGTTTTCCCCAAGTAATCTCTTTTGCGCTCCCTGTTAATGACATGCTGGTAGATCTTTCCAATGGTCAGATTATAGTCCTTGGTAAGGCGGATATCCAGGAAGCGCTCATAGAGACCCAAGTCAAGGTCTACTTCCCCACCATGATCCAACACAGACACTTCCCCATGCTCATAAGGAGAGAATGTTCCTGCATCAATGTTAATGTAAGGGTCAATCTTAATTGAAGTTACGTGTAAACCACATGACTTCAGTATTGTGCCCACACTGGTGGTAAGGATTCCCTTTCCAATGCCTGATATAACACCGCCAGTAATGAGAATATACTTCATTTTAATTTCTGACCTGACACCAGCTTCAAATCAGCTAAAGAACTAAGTTGGCAATGCATGTGGCGAGCCCCCCGCAGCCAGTGACTCCTTTACCTTTTGCACTGACGAAGTTTTTTAGAACAATGTTGAGTTGAAAGGGTTAGAGCAAACATTTTTACCTTGTTACCAATCTTAGAGGGAAAGTATTTTGTCCTTTATCATTAAGAGTACAATATACTGGTTAATGCGCAGGACTGCACAGTTGGTTTGAACCACAAGGTTAATGGTTCAAGCTCACCAGCTGCTCATTGGAAACCCTATACAGAGTCGCTATGGGTGGGAACTGACTTGACGGCACTTAACAGCAACATACTTTAAATTTACCCACTTAGACTTTTTTTGTTTTTTATTGTTTTCCCTTTCCCGGTATTATAAACACTTTGACATATTATTATTAGATTTGCTTCAAACAACCATTTTGAAAAATCTTTTGTTAAATGATGTAAATAGCTTTATTTTTATTTACAGTCCTTTGTGTAGATTCCAAATCCTAACTGGTATCCTTTTTTTAATCACTGCAGAATTTTATTTAAATTTCCAACCACACTATGGAGGTACATACACCATAGAGTAGTCAATCATTTGAGATTGAACGGGTAGCATTTACCCAAGGACAAAGTTCAGAAGAATTGAGAAAGAAAGAGGAAGGGAAACAAGAATCACAAGGAGGAGTAGGATATGTGATGTTATATTAAGGGTACTGGCAGTCACTGAGATGAAACCCAAGTGTGTGATTTGTTGTATGTGAAACTGATGATCTGCTCTGTAAATCTTCACTCAATTTGTAATCAAAAGTTATTTCACCCAAATTTTTGAGAAAGGAGTCCTGAAAGTATACTGGGGTTATAAGTTGGCCTGGTAACCTCAAGCTTAGCAATTTGAATGTACCATCCATTCTGCCGGAGAAAGATGAGACTTTCTGCTCCCACTGAGATTTACAGCCTCTGAAACCCTCTACAGGGTCACTGTATGAGATGGAACCAACATGACAGCATAAAAGCGCCAACTCCCACAAATTTCTCAGAGGTGTATTTGTTGAATATAGAGTTCTGTTGGGGCCTCATTGCTTTAAAGATATTGCTCCATTGTCTTCTGACTTAATATTATTTCTGATGGGAAGTCTACTATTGTTCTTATCTTTGTTCCCTTCCTTTTTATTAGCTGTCAGACAGTGTAAATTTTGCTTTGTTGGTTGGCTGGTGTTTTTTGTATTTCTTTGACTATATCCTGACCTGGGTAGTTTCCTCAGACATTCTTGCATTGATTAGTACTGAACTGGAAACTTACAGAGACCCCTCTACATATCTCCTGAGCTCTTTCTCTACAGTTCTCTCCTCTCTAGTACTGAATTTTGTAAATGCTAGCTGCTCTGCTCTCTTTCTAGGCTTGTTCTTCTTGACACCACAATAATGCCAAGCTCTGTGTCCAGCTTCCTGTGGTACAGCTTTACTAGTACTCTCCAGCAGTGAGTGCTTGCAGTTGTAGGGCTCACCTCATTTGTGGCCTTTCTCTCTTGTCTCCAGCCTGTGGTTTTATATAGCTCATCTAGTTTTCTAGTTGTTTAAGGCACGAAGGTAAGTGTGATCCTTGGTATGCCCTCATTGCCAGAGTAGAAGTCTGAGTTTGCCTTTGTTATTCTTTTTTAGTTACTGAATGCCAAAGTAATACTGACACTTAAGTTAAAACAGATTTTCTGCATGCTGGTTAATTCTAGCATACACACAGTTTTAGTCTATGTACTATGAGCAGACCATATGATGAGAAGAGGATGAATTTTCCTTTTTATATCACGTTTTAAACGGTTTAAGTGTCTTCTTGCCTTCTGTTTTAGAAGCAAAACGGACAAATCGTTTTTTAAGTGGCATTATCAACTTTATCCACTTCAGAGAAGCCTGTCGTGAGACATACATGGAGCTCCTTTGGCAATATGTAAGATTTAAATATAATATGTAAGGTTCACATACCAGATCAGTAATGTTATTTATGAACTATCAATATGTTTTGAAAATTTTGTTATGGTTATTAAATTGTATGTATGGGTTTTAGAATCAATTTTATATTTATATGAAGTTGCAGATTTTAGTTGATGGGAAGCATAGTTCAGAATGAGATTTTCTTTGCAATATGGTAACATTGGGCAGAAGCTGGGGTTTTTTGTTTATTTTAATTTTGTAACTGTGTTTCCATTTCCTATGTTAGAAAATCTAAGGGATGACAATATTGAGAGCATCCACATGATTTAAAAATAAAACTTATCATGCACATTGTAGTGTTCTACATTTGTTTAAAATTAGATATTTAAAGTTTATATTTGCCTTTTAAGGAGCTCTGGTAGCATAGTAGTTATGAGTTGGGCTGCTAACCTGAAGGTCAGCAGTTCAAAACTACCTGCTTTTCCTTTGGAGAAAGATGAGATTTCTGCACCCTTAAAGATTTACAGCCTTGGAAATCCTATTCAGAGTCACTATGAGACGGAACGGACTCCATGGCACATAGCCACCACCATTTGCCTTGCAGATAATAGCCTAGTAGGACTGTTTGGTGTTTTTATTTGCATGCCAAAAATGACATAAAATTCAGTGTAAGGCATCATTTTAGCAGATAAAAAACCTCATTTTCCAGCATTCGGTCATATAGTTAATTTAGAAAGAATACGAGTCATCTGTCTGATTTGTCCCCTTTATCCTCAGCTTCCTGTCAGACTTTAGAAAAGGACCAGAGTAGCACAATCTTGTTAGGTATTAACTCCAGCTCTACTGAGCCACATAGGTAAAAACTTCATTGCACAAATCATACTTACCTTATGTCTCATAAACATTACACATTCTCCAAAGCTCACTCACACATTTGTCAGCACACACAAGCACACTATTTTGCTTGACTAATTTCTCCTCTTTTTTTTTTTTTCAATAGGTAATTTCAGACAGACTATATAAAAACCTACAGTCATGAAGTCAATTCCAATTCATAACAGATAGGACAGAGTAGAACTGCCCCCATAGGGTTTCCAATACTGTAAATCTTTATAGAAACAGATTGTCACATCTTTCTCCCACAGAACAGCTGGTGAGTTTGAACCATTAACCTTTCAGGTAGCAGCCCAATGCTTGATCCATTGCACCACCCAGGAGCAATGATTTTTTTAAAGACAGCTCAAGTAGCTCACACAACCTCCAGAAATTCCTTCTCAACCTTAGCACAAGTCAGTTTGGTTTCACTGTTCTTTGTTCTCCTTATGTTCAGTACTATAACAAATTACTTTGTAGTTTTATATTCATGTATCTGGTGGTGCAGTAGATTAAGCATTGGGCTGCTTACCACCAGGTCAGCAGTTCGAACCACTAGCCTCTCCACTGGAGAAAGATGAGGCACTTGGGTTCCCTAAAGATTATATATAGCCTTAGGAACTCTGGGAAACAGTTCTACTCCATCCTGTGTGGTCACTGTGGGCCAGAATTAACTCAATGACAGTGAGAGTTTTTTTCTGGTTTATTCATGTATTTGTCTCTTGAAGAAAACTTACAAGCCGTGACACTATAAGGGAGCTTCAAAAAGTTCGTGGAAAATGGAATTAACAGATATGGAATATGTCCATAAACTTTTGAAGTCTCCTTGTATAATCATCCTGAGAATTCTCAGCATCTTTTACATAACTGAGAAGACCTCAAAATTTGTGTTGAATGAGAAAATAATTCCTAATTTACCTGCCATGAATGTGCAACTGTTTCTTAGATTTCTGATTGGTTATATTTATAGAGGGAATAAGCATTTTGTAATCTCTTCTTTCTACTGAGAAATATTAACATGAGATTATTCAAATTGCTTTAATAGAAATCCTCTGTGGACAAAATGCAACAGTTAAATACGGCACACCAGGAGGCATTAATGAAATTGGAGAAACTTGAGTAAGTGGGAAATTTATTTTTTTTTAAATGCAATTTCAAAATGCAAAAGAAATATACTTCTTCAACTCTATAGTCCATTTTCAGCTTTTAATATCTTCCTTACTGCATAGAAACCTTCCTTGTTTAAGGTTTGTCTTTTCTAAAGAAAAACTAGTTTTTCTTCTTTCTATCTTTTATTATGTAATATCTATCCTTTCAGTTTTTTTTACTGTTACTGTATCTTCCTGCCACACAGTACTCTCCTAAATTCTATCAGGGAATATTTGTCTTAATATAGGTGAGCAGTACTCTTTAAATTCTTGTCTTTCCTTCAAATCAGTTAATTCTGGGTAAAATTAATATATACAGTATTTGGGGTTTTGTGTGATTCATAGATCATATAGGAAAAAGAATTACACAAGAGCTATTATTTCTTGTCCTTATACATACTGATTTTGAGTGGAAGTAGTTTTTGTTTTTGTTTTTTTTCTTTTTAATCCCAACTATCATCACCACCATTATGTAGACGTCTTTGAGTTTTCTGCTTTGTTGTTGTTAGGTGCCATTGAGTAGGTTCCGACTCATAGCATCCTTATGCACAGCAGAATGAAACACTGCCCGATCCTGGGCCAACCTGACTATTGTTGCCATGCTTGAGCCCATTGATGCTGCCACTTTGCCAATCTATCTCACTGGGGGTCTTCCTCTTTTTCTCTGACCCTTCACCTTAACAAACACAACATCCTTCTCTAGCGACGGGTCCCTCCTGGCAATATGTCCGAACTATGAGAGAAGAAGTTTGGCCATCCTGGCCTCCAAGGAGTACTCTGACTGCACTTCTTCCAACACAGATCTGTTGATTATTTTGGCAGTCCATCTCAATTTCAATATTCTCCTCCAACACCATAACTCAAATGCGTCAATTCTTCTACGGTCTTCCTTATTCACTGTCCAGCTTTCACATGCATTATGAGGTTTTTGAAAATACCGTCGCTTGGGTCAGGCACACCTTGGTCTTCAAACTGACATCTTTGCTCTTCAGCGCCTTAAAAAGTTCTTGTGCAGCAGATTTGCCTAATGCAGTACGTCATTTGATTTCTTGACTGCTGCTTCCATGGGTATTGATAGTTGATCCAAGAAGAATGAAGTCCCTGACAGCTTCAATCTTTTCTGCTTTAGAGGAGAGCTTTTCTAATATGTCCTTGGCAATATTTAGAGGCAGACGTCAGCTAAAAAGACTGGGACAAAAGTGGGATATTAAAATTTGGCATGGTAAAAGATACTGTCAATCAAGCCAAAAGACAAGTGGCACACTAGGAGAAGTTGTTTACAACAGATGTAGCAAAGCATTAATAACTAATAACAAAGCCCATGTAAGATTTTTAATATACAAAAAGCTCTTAAAACTAATAGGATAAAAGATTATAGAAAAATGGGCAACAGTGATCAACAATTTGCACAAGAATAAATGCAAATGAATAATTTAAAATATGCAAAGGTGATCATACTCACCAGCAGTCAGGAAAATTAAAAAATAATAATTCTATACCATTTGTCATGTACCAATAAGTAAAAACTACCATTGAGAATATTCATATGGAAGAGACTCGACATGTTGAAATGCTGATAGGAGGAACTGGAAAAGCAGAAGAAATGGATGGGAGACAGAGCAAAGGTGGAGAAAGTAGCATTAAACAGGAGAAGGGATGCCGCTTTCATTTGATTAAGAGTAAAGTAGAGGGTGGGTGTGTATGGAGATCAGTCTTTAGATTTGGGGCTCTTCTCGTCTTTTATTTCTCTGTAACAGAGGCCAGGTTATCTGTCATGAAAGGATGCAAATCAGAAAGATGAAAGAAGATGGCTCCTTCACTTAAGTTATTTTAGGGCAGTCATTGAATTTTTTTCCTTCAAAGTTAAGGACTCACTAAATACCATTTTACTCTGGTGTGTTTAGTTCTGTTCCAGTTGAAGAGCAAGAAGAATTCAAGCAGCTTTCCGATGACATTCAGGAACTACAGCAATTGCTGAATCAGGAGTTTCGTCAAAAGACGGTAAGTAGGAGCCCTGGTATGGCGCTGTAGGATTAGCACTGGACCGGTATCCACAAGGTTGGCGGTTCAAACTCACCAGCTGCTTCTTAGAAAATCTATACAAGGTCATTATGAGTCAGAATTGACTCAATGGCACTTAACAACAATAACATATGTTGTTAGCATCTTAAATTTATTTAACAGAACAGTTTTTTAAATGTCTGTAGGCTTGGAGGGCCATGCAGTGAGGTAAAGAGCACATTGCTTTCAATTACTAAAGAAAGAAGATATATCGCCCTTTTGTGTCCTTTACAATAGCTACATGGTTTGGACAACAAGCTATGGACAACATTGAGAGCCAAAATATGATCTTGAATTTATCCCTCCTGAATTTAGAGATCATCTGAAGAACAGATTTGATTAATTAAACACTAAAGACTGAAGACCAGAAGAGTTATGGGATGACATCAAGAA